GTTGAGTAAAAGCCCACCAGTGAAAATCACTGGTCGTATGTTCACCAGACGTTATTAGCAGCAGGCATGTCTTCATGTGGCAAAAATTACTAACCTAGACATTGGGTCTCTATGCGGTCTCTGGAACTTTTGGATGCTCGCCGACCCATTCCGGCAGGAAACGAACACGAGACTCGCAAAGAGATCAGGGCGAAACTGCGTGCTAGCCTGAAGAGGGACCACGAAGGGTGGTGGTCTCATCGTGCAGCGCAGATAGAAATGGCAGCTGTTCCTGGTAACCATCGTAAGTTATTCAGTCTGATACGCAAAACGGGTAGCAGGAGACATGGTGTTAGCGAAACCGTACGTGACGAGGGTGGACGGTCAATCCACAGTTTATCAAAACGCTTGAAGCGTTGGGCTGAACACTTTGAAAAGATGCTTAATCAACCGGTTCCCAGCTTTTCCATCGGCCATTGATCGCCTTCTTCCCTGAGGCCATCCCCTTAGATTCATCTTCACGCGCAGAAGTCGAAAGTGAGATCCGACTGTTGAAAGTAAATAAGACCAAAGGAGCGAATAGAATTCCTCCAGCTCTTTTCAAATTTGGGGAACATGCTCCTGTCGATGATTTGCACAATTTACTAGTGAAGATATGGGAACAGGAAACTATCCCAACCGACTGCAGCTGATCCGTAATAGTCCCAATTTTTAAGGAGGACTCACGTTCCGAATGCAGCAATCGCAGAGGGACCAGTCTGATCTGAGTTGCCTTTAAGATACTCGCTTCCATAGTTCTTGCTTGTGCCCGTGAAAGTCGGATTCGCGAAGAGCAAAGCGGGTTTCCTCGTAGTCGCGGCAGTATTGATCATAACTTCACATTGCGTCAATTGTTGTTGCATCGCCACCATAGCCGTATTCCTCGACATTAAAAGCGCTTTCGATTCGGTTAATCGATGCGATCTTGGGGACTGCCTTCTTAGGAATGGTGTGTCTGATATGCACGTAAACATTACCAAGCGCTTTATTCACATGTTTCGGGTAGAATGAGGGCTTGCTGCAAACTGTCGCCGCTCTTCAATATCACCATTGGTGTAAGACGAGGATGCCCACTGTCACCATTCCGTTTTAACTGCGCCATTGAGGAAGTCGTGGAGACTGCGCTCACTGAACACGTCCAGCAAGGCGTGGAACTGCTCCCAGGTGATCGGCTTCTTATCTTGAAGTATGCCGACAACATTGTCCTAATCCGTGACAGCTTTCAAGTGTGAAGTGGCACTAGACAAGTAGGCATTGGTTGTCAGTTGTATCGCGTTATGTTTTGCACTGTCTAAATGCGAATTACTTTTCCAAGATTGGCAGGAACTCACCCCTGGCGCTGACCCTTGGTGGCGCCAAAGGAATTGATGATATGATCACAAACTGCACTGCAAAAGGTCGAGGTACTTCGGCAATCTCCGCCACTTGTGGCGCCAACGCGACATTAATCTCGCCTTGTAGGGCAGAGTTTAAAATGCAGCCGTCCGTTCAACCCTCTTGTAAGGTTGTAAAACCTGGCCCACCAAGTCGTCAGGTATAAATAGGATGGTCACGTTCGATCATCGCTGCCTTTTCAGTTTAACTCATGTCTGGTGGTAACACCGCATGAACAAGGAGCGTGCTCGGAGACGTGCATTTGGAGCGGGAAGAGCTAGTGGACCGTTCAGTGACGTTATTTTACGTCTCACGCTTTTATGACTGGGCCATGTGTTGCGGATACCAGCCCACCGACTACCGCGACATGCGTTGTTTGCGCGGCGGGGTGTGGAAGGAAGAAGAGGAAAGGAAGCCAAACGATGACTTGGTCTAGACTCTAAAGGAATAGAAACCTTAAATTTGAAGTTGGCGTCGGTTGGTGTGTCCCGACTGCCTGGCCGTGGTCCGAGGAACATGTTTGGTTGGATACACTAGTTGACATGGCAAAAAGTCGATCTCAATGATGTTTGTGTTGTGAGTTTATTTGTTCCTCCGCATCAAGCTTATCTTCCCTTTCCACCCACGATCTTTCTCTTGAAGCATACTATGTTACTAAGCAGTATGGTGACCGTTTTTTGCATTTCATGAATGTTTAGTATATTGTTTTTTCCTATATCTTATCATTATATTTTGCGGAACAATCGTTGGATTGTGTCTATCATGTTCAGCTAATGTGTAGTGATAGTGATGATGAACTTGGGAAACCAAATCTAATCCTTGACCGTGTTTTTAACCATCACTCCGCCTCCCACAGCTCGCTTCGCTTGGCTTGAAGATATACGATGTGCCTGTGTCAAAACAAACGCACTGATACATGTTAGAACTAGGGCTTTATCCTCACGCAAGGTTTTATTTCTTTCCGCTGTTTGTTTCCACTCAGCATTTACCTCTTCATATCCCAAGCTTACCTTTCAGTTCTCATGTCCACAAAGAAGGTTTTCACATTTTCATTCTTATGCTATTATCCGTCTACAGCACGCAGTTAACGAAAACGAAAATCAGAAGCAAATGGGATCCTCAGATTCGGTTGTTTCAACCTCCAGAACGGCTCACACATCCCACGCGTAGGTACATCGGTACTTACCCTCATTTAAATACTCTAGTTAACATGCACAGATTGTTTCCACTCCTACCATCACTTTCACCCACACCCCTTGCAACATGCCATACGAGCCTCAGTGATAAAAGAAAAAACCTGGGGTGAACTAAATTGATGCTGCCGATCAGGGACATAGCATTAATTTCAAGCCGCATGGTGAGGAATAAAATTTTAAAATCACAGCGTCTATACTTGCCGAATTACGACGTATGTACAGTGTTGATTATCACGATGTACTATCCAACTCTTTCTACAGTATGTTCGAATACACGAGGATGTACAGTATGTAACCACGGACCTGTACCCTTTTAGGGCAGCCACGGGTCAAATCGATGAAAAATGCATTCGGATGAGTAGCGGGAATTTTTGTGCAATTTTAGGTATAGTTCGTCGCAGTCTCCTCCCAGTCACAAAGGTTCCCAGGTCAAAACAGCTGTCTGGTGTTTTTCCAGACGCGTGGGAACCTGTGTGCCTGAGAGAAGACTGCGACGAACTATACCTAAAAATAAAAATACATTTTTAGTTACTAAATAACCGTTTCTAACAGGGTATAACAATCAACGGCTTGCTGGGATCGCCTCAGATGCTGCATTGACATCAAAGAAAATCAAGTGGGTAGAGTTCATAACTAGATGGATCAGACCAATCATACATATGACCCGATATGCGGATTGCGAAGTGAGCATAATTAAAAAATCGGGAAACTGATTGAGACGATCGATTACATTTGCGACTATATAGCCGAGTCAGGAATAAAAAATGTGTATACCTACGCGTGAGCTCAAGGGCCTACTGTTACGCTGCACCTGGAATGTGCAGTTTCTATTCAACGGGCAATACTACCGGCAGAAGGACAGCGCGGAAATGGAATCCCCCCCCTCGGACCGCTATTAGCGGATATCTTCATGGCAAAGCTAGAGAGAACCGAAATGCGGGCGGCGATAGACCATTTTGAGCGCTATCAGCGATACATGGACGATATATTTGTTGTGGTGGATAAACATGTTAATCTGGAGGAAATTCTTGACCACTTCAACCGAGTGCATGCAGCAGTGCAGTTTACTTACGAGAAGGAAAGCGATAATCGGCTACCATATCTCGGTGTCTTGTTAACTAGGAGACCAGACGGATTCATCCAGCATCAGGTCTACAGAAAAAAAACGTGGATAGGTCAGTACACGAATTTTTACAGTTTCGTCCCCATGAGATACAAGCGCAACTTGGTTCAATGTCTTACGTCAAGAGCACGTCGAATCTGTACGGAAGACACCCTAGACGCGGAGTTAATGTTCATACAGAACACTCTACGTGAAAACGGTTATCTTGATAGATTTATCTTAAGGAACTTCCAAGAAAAACCCAGACCAGTGCCAGTGTTAACAGCACCAAAGAAAGTTATTTATTCGCTTACCATTCAAAGGGGACGCGGCTACTGAGCGTCTAACGAGAAGCCTTTCAGCCGCGGTAAAGTCGACCTTTTCAGCAGCCTCGTTGAAGTGCGTGTTCTCAACGGAACCACTCATTCGTTCACGTAACAAGGACAATACGCCGATGCTGACCACCTCAATGGTAATTTATCAATTCGTGTGCGCCTGTGGCGCGACGTATACTGGTCAAACGGCGCGGTAGTTATCCAAACGCGTGAACGAACATTGCCCTCGTTCGCTGCGTCAAGGGGGCACCGGGACCATTAGTAGCGCCATTCTGGCCCACATTGTGGACACCGGCCATGAGGTGGATTGGAAACACGCTTTCCGAATAGTTTACAAGGTTCCGCCGCACCGAACGAAAGGTTACCGCCTTCGTAAGCTTGCGACAGCTAAAACAATAAGCATGCGATTGTTCCAGCCGTCCTTATGCTCACAGAAGAAGCTGGTTCGGGCTCTCCAGCTTCCCTGGCCAGTAAAGAGGGAAGACGCCCAGGTCGACTGCCTTCGGTCAGACGCGGTAGCAAACAACTAGCCCTCTAAGACCTAATTCGTTTTCTCAACACTGAGATAGACCTTCACGTGGTCAAGTCGTTTTGAACAAACTGGGTCGATTTCTCTTTCTAGCCTCCATATGATTGTAATGGTCTGATGATGAATCATTGAAAGCAATTGCTCACCAGATGGTCTTTTGTTCTAGCAACGTACTATCAAAGTGAAGTTGAAAACAATTCCGGACTTATGAAAAGCGTTTCAACCAGATCTAGGAAGGGGCGGAGTTGGGTGAAGATTAATCTGTGTCATCTGCGGCACAATGTATCTATTGAGGCAAAGTGAACAGGCACTAGTACCATATGTTGGATCCTGACTCGACATGAGTGACAGAAAAAGTGCGGAGCAAAGCGCCACCTGGGTGAACATACAGTTCTGAAAACATATTTATCGCGGAGGAAAAAGAAGCAACAACAAAAAGTACGTACCTCAAATACAGAGAGGTACAATTCTTCGAAATCACCAATCCCATATGGAACAGCGTACGTTTTCATTAGCTTGTACTGTTCCAGTGTGATGGTTAAATCAAGTTTCAGAGGTTCAAACCAATATCTGTCCAAACGAGAACGTGTGAAATCGACCTCAAGCGTCTCTAGGAGGAGGCGAGTAATCTGCAGTAAATGGAGAAGACTGCATCAAACTTACGCGCGTATTAGAGCCGCGGAGAGCTTCAACCAAAGGCGGCACTTCAGACGAAAACCGATAATCTGTTTTAGCTCCAGACCTTAAGAGAATTGCCACCGAATCCTCATTTCCACTGGCTACTGCACAACACAAGGCATCCTCGTTCTAAGCATTAAGCTGAGAGGAGAATAGCAAACCATAAAATTTGTGCGGCCAATCTCAGTTGATAGATCTAACTCAGGGCGTTGGGAGAGAGCATTCAGACACATCTCAACGCACTCGGAACAACCGGAACGGGCTGCCCAATGGAGCGGCATATTACCCTATTGGAGGAAGGTAAGGATGGTGGGGTAAGAGCCACATCACTACGTCATAATCAGGTCGATTCACAAGCTGTGGGTCCTCGCGCAGAAACTGATCAAGTAGTTCAAAGTCACCGGCTGCGGCGCTTTGAAAAACTGGATGTGCTCTTTGCTGCAGACAAAAACAGGATAAATGAAATGGAAGAACCCACCAGCATGAGGATGATGACAGGGAATCAAAAATCACCGAGCGCGAGGGCAAGTAAACCTTCTCACCATACATAAATTGATGCGGCGCATTTCGGAAACGAGGTCAGCGAATAAATGACCGTTGTAGATCCCTAAAAAGAGAAAAATAAATAAAATTCCGAGGGTTATTGAGAGTGAGAATAAAAGACGGGTAGTGTTCAAAAAACTTTTATTCATGAACAGTAAGTTACCCACACAAAAATTTGAATCACCATTACAACCCTTATATTTTCAATGCCGAATTCTTATGTTCCCCTCCAATATCATGAAACTGAATACGCTGGTCCGTACGCATCGTTCGTTCAATACGTTAGGTCCAGCCCACACCCGCCTTGAGGAGGACCACAATGAATTTCGTTCTTGCAGGGGCGAACCAATTCCGCAGTGCCTATCGAGTCTACGCCATCATAGGTGGACTGTGTTTGACTTGCCGTCTATCCACTGGTTTGACATCGGTTTCGTTTGCCTTATTGCCCGGCCGCCATTACACATCACGTTGTTAGCCTAGGTCTGTTGACTTACGTTTCGGTTGTGTACTCCGGTGTTTGCTTTATGAAACGGGGGCCTACAGGGTTCGACGAGCTCCTGTGGAAAAAGAGAAATTAACGAATTACGATAGCACGCTATGACAGCTCCAAAGGTGAACATCATGATAATTCTAAGAATGATCATAAAGCAGTTCGCACTTTGTGTATAAATGATGTCTATTTTAGCTCATGTATATGAGAGGAAGGTAACAGAAGTAGGGAATTGATCATTTGCAGTTCCCCTTCGAGTGCCGTCTGATAAACTAGAGATCGAACCTGTGAAACATCCTATCGTAACCACTCCATGCGCTGATACCAGACGAACAACTTCATAGAGAAGCTATGAGCATTCTGTCATAACTTTCGAAGACTCGAAAATAATGCTCAATGAATAAGTACGAGTATAGTTGCACCTTCTCGTTCGCAGGACTTAGGAAGCGAATGACTAGTATCGAAATTGCTCCGTAAAAGTGATCGGCATTGCTGACTACTGATAAGTAGCCAAAGAAAAGTGATAGCAAGCATGCATATTAGGTGTTACCTACCCGAAAACACTGCAAGTATAAGATTTTCCTAAAATTTTAACTAGCGACCTTAATAAGTAGGTGTTCCTAATCCCGATAGGTCTACAGTGGGGACAGGTCAATCCGTAGGCCCGCAAAGTTAAGGGCAACGGTGGTGGAATGTAGAAGCATGAAGTAACAAGCGGAAGCGGAAAATTCAGTTGGTCATAAAATAAAAAGGAGAAGTATCCATGGAGGTTGGATTGGTAGGTTTGATAAAGAACTGGGATGGTGATTGGTGCATTTCATTGGCATGGAGAACTCGTTGTAGAACATAATAAATATGAAAGAGGACACATAGTCTGGGGTACGGACGATGACACACGCTTTTAGATTAGCCCAGAATAAAGGATGAACACATTTAGTTACTCTTAGGGGCATGCACCAGTTGGACGAGTAGTACCCTCTTGGGCACATAAACCAGGCGCGTGAGAAAAAGTCTCTGTAACAGACTGAAACCGACTCTGTAATTGCAAAGCGACAGGTGTACATAGTCCAGAGTTCAGAATTTAATTGCATGAAAATCCAGTAGAACGAGTAGAAAGGAGACTGAAAGGAATTGGAGCAGCCCATTGGGACATAATAAGTTGAGTACCAAGCGAAATGGAAACGACTTACCTCGAAAAGGAGTGGTAAAAATGTGGTACATAGGCACGGATATGAGGGTGAAGTGAAAGCGGTGTCCAATTAAGTGAAACAAAAGTAACAAGCAGTGTGCTGCACTGTGAATAACAGCACATCAATACTTCGTAATAATTCTTCGGTGAGAGTTAAATAGTTGAAAATCGAGTATGTTATAACCATAAGGGCTTGAAGACAGGAAGGCGCACAGTATAGAAAAGGCGTTGGGCAAACATTTAATGTTAACGAGTTGGAAAATTGTCAACACCACACGATCAGAAACAGCTGGATTTCGTGTGAGTAGAAGGTAGCATACGAGAAACGGCTTCATAGCAGCTATCACAAACCAGGATCATCATTCATCGTTACACACTTTACCTAGAGGTGGGAAAAACCTCGGCTGCTGTGCCGCAATATATAAAAGAAAAAAGGAGAAAAATATGCAATAGGTGCAAGCCGGCTGAGCTACCGGTAACCGATGGGCATCGTTCCGGTAAGCTACCAGCCGGCTACTATGCATCAAAAAATATTACGATGCAAAATTATATGAGGCTAAATAGTCAGATCGTGGTTGGAGGAGGAGGCTAAGAAGGATGGGGTGGGACAAAGAAACCCACAGCCCGAACGTCAATGAGGTCGGCTCCTAGCCATATCAGCAAGTGTATCCAGCCAAACGTGCTCATCGTTTTTCGGACCCCAACCAGCCAGCCGAAACGTTCCAACCGAGGTCAGCTCAGAAGTGTAGGTTTTCATTCCTCTCGACCAAGTCATCGCTTAGCCACCTCTCCTCTTCCATCCACATCCCCAGCGAGCAAACAACGCACGTCGCGGGAGTCGATGGGCTGGCATGCGTAACACGTGGCCGAGCCATCGGAGCCTGGTGCTTCATAAAAAATGAGGCTTGACCTTATCGTGATGCGATGGTTTGCGTGCCTCAGAGCTCCATTGAGCTTTGCTGGGCGGTGCTTTTTTCGCACCTTCAGAGCCACTCATACCAGATTGGTCAATGGTTGGAGGCAAGACAAACTCAGTCTCCTGGTCCTCCCAGGTTGGGGTTTGGAATGAGGTGGCTCCTCATTCCTTAAAACGGACTCCTTGTAGCCCAACTCTAAACCCGCTGCCTTGCGGTCAGGTTTTTGAACCAAAGGTTTTGGTTGAGAACCCTAATTATTCTGATGTCTAGGCCTGGGCAACCCGACAGTCTCCTGCCCACGCCATACAATGAATCTCTTTTCAAACAAATTGCTGATGCTCTGGCCACCGCAGAGGATAATCAACGGTGCCCTATCTGCTGCATCGATCAGGGTGGATAGGGTTTCTTAGGCTACTGCTTAAGCCTTCCATTATTCTTATTCACCCTCCTACGTTTTTTCACCGTTATCGTCACTTTCCAGCATCACAAACCAGCAGCATGATCAATCATGGCACATAGCTGATCCAGCAACACACAGGAAATTCGTCCACGAGATTGCTGCAAATATACCACTGAAACAGATTGCGAGCCATGCCCCGTATGGCGTTGGATGAAGGGTGAATAGCAGAGACAAAGGACTGAAGAGTGAAATGGACCAACGGTACTCAATAAAGTGCTCATGCATTTCAGTATTGATGCTGTCACAATGAGTCTACTCGGACCTAAAGCATCGGACATCGGGTAATCAAAACAGATCTGAGAAGTTGCGAATAGCAGGTGCCCAAGCCAATGCGGCCTATCATTTTATTTGTGAAAGCTATGGGCTATGTTTGTCATCACTGCCTAACACGTATCTAGGCAGGTCATCGTTGTGTCAAACGGTAGGAGCAGTGTTACGTAAACAACGAGGATCGAAAGCTTGAACGCACTTGAGGGCAACAGACTGGAGTAGCAAGCCAAATTGACGTAAAGGACGGGCTTCGGGCCGCTATTGCATGCACAACGCTTTAGGGAAGCCCTCTAGGCGCCCCAGAAATGTGGCAGATTCATGGAGATAGTTCGGAGTTTTGTTATGCATCAGTTAATTTCAACTGTCGCCTATTCATCGCTCCTAATACAGCTGTTACGATAGCCGGGTTGGTTAATTGTCCTCAAATCTTCCTCGTCGATAACGAAGGAGCAGGCATAAAGTTGGTGGTACTGCAACTGCCCATTGATGACACAAAACTCATGCAAAAGGACAGGACAGCTCCAGAAAGTTTTTTCTAGAGTTCATTGCGATTGTCAAACAGCCAGATGGTACCCTAAGAGTAATAAAAATAAAAGGATACCTCCTCCCCTAGAATAAACCAATATTTGTATGAAGAGACGACCTAAGAGATTTCACTAATGTCGACTGTAAAAATGAACAAAAGCGAGGAAACGAGACAGACCTGAGAAAGGCCATTTGGTGTTAAAAAGGTGCTCGATTAGAAACAGAAGAAGAGATAATCTTAAGCGCTCGAGTAAGGACCATCGACATGGACTAGGACAGTGAGGGGAATGTTCGTGTGAAATTAGGGAAGAACATTTGTGCCACATGTGACGCTTGTTTGCCTTCGCCCTGAACGCTGTCCGCAGCTCGGACTTCAGCTCCGTAACGTGGTGAAGATAAGTTGTCACTACTAGTATCAGACTGATACACCTTTGTGTCTGATACAAGTGGTAACTGCACGTATGGTATATGCTACCGCAGTCGAATCACCCTGATTGGATGAAGCGGGCTATTAATTCCATGGTACTTATGGATGGGAAACCTGACTATACCTAAATAGCGTGGGAACATAGGATCCAGGCCCGTAGAAAGAAGAAATTGCAGGCAGTGATAGTGGTTAAGATATCGAAAGTAAATGGAGCCTCCAAATGAACTGCCAAAGATCCGGACTCCCCATCTGTGTCCAAAATGCCTCAGAAACAGGGACTCTCTGGAACAGCTGTTCAATGAGGTAGGGGCGATTCATGGTAAAAAAAAGAGATCGTCAGTTTTGCTCCTGATGGTTTCACTCAATCATGATAGCGGTAGAAGCCATATTCTACCGACCTTACAAACGCTCAGGACTAGGACACGAAGGCATAATCTACAAGATGTTCCAGTAAGTCTGCCTGACCGAGGGCAACAATAGTATTTAGGTTACCACAGGACAGTAATGTCAGAAATGTACTAAGAGGACATAAGAATCAAAGGAGATCATACAACATGAGCGGCGGAAAAGACAGTAAGGATTTCAGAGACCAGTCGTAGTGAAGGCCAGATTGGCCCATACGGCATCAGCAGTACGCGGGTATGTCGTACCGACGCTTTGCTGTAGCGTAACCACCACCGGTCGCATGCGAACTAAGGATACTATGAAGGCCACCCTGTCCCTAAGAAGGCTCGCACCCGTGCCGTCAGATTACCACACAAGATCGTTACCTTGAGGCTAAGGGC